GCCACCTGCCATGCCATTTAAACCCACCCTCCCAAATCAGCTATGAAAATCTGAGATAAAGTATACGGACGAGCACTAAAAATAAAGCACTAAGTTCTATTTTTTTTTTTTTTTTAAAGGCAAATGCAAAGCAGCCACTCTCTGTTTTATACAGGGGCATTCCAACGCTTGGAGGCTCTCGTGGTGTAGAAACTTGCAGCCTGGCTGCGAGGCAACAATTCCTCTCACACAAACAAACCAGAGATCAGGACCTACGGAGGGAAAAGAGGCCAAAGCATTGAACCTCTAAAATTCCCAATTCCCTTACCTCTTCAGAACCACATGGAACAGGATTACAGCCAATCTGTTATTTATTTTACTTTATTATTATTATTATTATTTTGCACACACAGGGTACATGATGCTTTGATATTGAATGTATTCAAGAAGATACCTTTGCTCTTTTGCAGTCTGACTCATCCATCTCTAGAACACCCTTCTGTGGGTCCCTCAAAGTGGAGGGACCCTTTCCCTTCTCCGTTCCCATTTTGCTTAGCACCTGTGTATTTCTACATGCAGCCTGACTGGGTATGTCCTTGTCCCCCTCCCCAGGGCACTGCGATCTCTGGGACAGCAAGGAACAAGGACCGAGTATTCTTTCCTCTCTGTATCTCAGCATTTTGCATGGTGCTCCTGGAAGGTAATAAGTTCCCAGTAAATGTTGGCTCAACTGAAATCAAAACCCAACCACCACCAATAACAAGACCAAATAAACAATAAAACCCCAGATTTTACAGTTCATTGACTTCCCCTCTGAGCCTCCATATTTTTGCATTAAAGCGAAAGGGTTGACCAAAGCGATTTCTAAGGTCATGTTCAGCTTGTAGCTGGGAAGCAAAACAGGCCCTGGTGAGATTACTGGGGTTCTTTCTGCAATATGCACCATTTGGGAGCCCCCACAAATGGCACCCTGGCTCTGTCAGGTTTCAGACCTCAGAGTCTGAAACTTCTGAGACTCCTTTCAAAAATCTAGTGTTGAGAACTGCTAGAAAATGACTTTGCCAAGGGGGTGTGGGCTCTGAATGGTCCTGGCCATTCTTTGAGAGGGGAGATGCCCTTGGCATGGGGTAGTAGACAGTCCAGCTGCCCCAAGCCAGGGCTGTCTGTGATACCAGAAGGGTTTTGAGGGTGATGCTGGCTGAAGCAAACATAAACGAGGTGATGGCTGTCTTCACAAAGAGAAGCTTTTAATGGACCCACAGTGACGGGCAGCAGAACTCTAAAGCTTCGGTTTTTTTTTTTGGTTTTTTTTTTGAGACGGAGTCTCGCTCTGTTGCCCAGGCTGGAGTGCCATGGCACGATCTCGGCTCACTGCAATCTCCACCTCCCGGGTTCAAACGATTCTCCTGCCTCAGCCTCCTGAGTAGCTGGGACTACAGGCACCCACCACTATGCCTGGCTAATTTTTGTATTTTTAGTAGAGGCAGGGTTTCATCATGTTGGCCAGCTGGTCTCAAACTTCTGACCTCAAATGATCCATCCACCTCGGCCTCTCAAAGTGCTGGGATTACAGGCATGAGCCAGTGCGCCCAGCCAAGCCTCTCATTTTGAGAGTGAAACTAAGACCCAGACCCGAGTTGCAAAGTAACTCAGCGCTGCCACTGGAACTCAAATGCAGGCTCTCACGGGGCCCCAGTCTGGGCTCCTGTGACCAAATTAGAGCAGAAGAGAGCTCTCAGCTCCTCAGGTGTGCCAGCAGGGATGCTGAAGTTTCCACACAGGCTACACAGCTGAACGAAGCTGCATGTAAGTCTTATTCTAGAATTCTTTGTGACCGGGCCAGCTCTTCCATCGGCTTGTGGAGTGTGTGCACACAGGCATGCAGAACTCACTGGAAAGCTTTACAAGATGACTGGTGGATTTTATTTTTTGCTTTCCTGGTTGCTTTTTGTGATGTAGGAGGGGCCTAGAGTGAGGGTTAATGTTTAGATCCCTGGCCAAAGCTCTACCCAAATATAAACCCTTTGAGTCAGCAACCTTCTACACAGGAACTGACTCAAGCAAGGTTAACTGATCAGAAGGCTCAGAGTCACACATGGGAGAGGGCTCCTCCTTGGGCAATGTCAACTGCCTGCCTTTGGGTGGTGTCCTGGCTTGGGGGCTGCTTGGTGGGGAGGGGAGACAGAGATCTATCTCACCCCCAAAGACCCAAAACCTAGAAGGACTCCTTCCTGTCAAGCTCACAGACGACTTCATCCCCATAAGAAGGGCTTCCAGATCAGTGACAGCCAATTCTGTGAGTGCCACCAGGGAAGTGGGGCAGCACAGCCCTGTCCACAGTCATCAGGAAGGCTGCTCAGAAGGCAGTTTCCGCCTGCTGCTGCAGAGCTTCGAGGAACAGACTCCATACCCCCTAAGAAACCCTCTGCCATCACTTCTAGCAACACTTCCTGTTTTTCTCTCTCACCCTGGGTGGGGTGCTGTGGCCTCCCAGCCAGGGAGGTAGGCCAGGAAGGCCCTGCTCAAGCCCAGGCCCTGGCCTTGCCCAATCGCACCCCAAACAGCAAATGCCGACCCAGAAAAATGCAGGGAAGGCAAATTTCACGGTTTGTGGGATTTTGAAAAGGCAGGAGAAGGAGCACTCTATTCATTCTTTATTTAGCAAAAAGCGCACGATGGAACTTTTTCCCCTAGACATGAAGTCAAGGTATACACACACACACATATAGAGTATTAACTACCTATATATACACACATTCACTTAATTACATGTATTATAGCCACACGCTGTCTATTCTGCAGAATGTATTTTGGAGAATGTGTTATTGGCCTCATTTTGCAGATATGGAAACTGAAACGCCGAGAGGTTAAGTCTGGTGACCAAAGTAAGAGAGACTGGAGACCAGAAGAGACCGCATGCTGTACCCAGACATTTGCAGAGGCGGGGGGGGGGCACGGAGTGGTAAACTCTGTCAGTCATTTCAGCCAACCATGGGATTTCAGAAAACAGCCGGCAGGGGTCCTAATGTTTGGAGCAGGAAGGGGAGGTGGGGGAAGGCACTGTGAGGGACTCCAGCACTGGGCGCCCCTTCCCCACCGCAGAGACAAGCGGCAGTTTCCATAGCAGCCGGCAGGGGGCAGTGCACCTTGCCTTTTCGAAGCCTCCGGGCGCTTGGGCAGAGCCCGGGAAAGAAAACTAGGAGGCTCCGCCCGCAGCTTCTAGGAACAGGCAAGTTGAGCCCCGCACGTAGTAGGTGCTCCAGGCACGTCTAGAAGCCCAAAGGGCTTGACAGATACATTTGAACTCCATTTTAGAGACTGGAAGGGAAGAAGGGGGCGTCCCGGCCCCTGCCAGCACCTTCCACCTTGGGGCCTTGTCAATGAACACAGTGTTAGCACCTACGACGTGCCAGGCTCCCTGGCGACTACTGGAAAACCGGGCTCCCCTCTCACCCCGTTTTCCTCGTTGGCGAGTCGGCCTCGCCTCCTCCTCCTATCTCTTCCTCTCACCACACACACCCAGTCGCAGAGCGGGGGTGGGCGCTCGCTGTCTCCCTGGAGAACAAGCTCGTCGCAAACTTGCGGGGCTTGGGGACCCACTAGGGGGAGAAGTCGGGAGAGGCCAGGGGTGCCCGGAAACAATCACGACAAAGCCGGGCGAATGCCTGATGCAGGGACGCGGCGAGCCAGTCACTGCCCCCAGGGTCACGGCTGTCTCCCTCTGCGGGACTCGCCCGGCCCACGGGACGCAGTGACCTGCCCAACCCCCACCCCCTTGCGCGCTTCTGGGCGCGCACGTGTCCCCTAGCCGAACGCACCACCGAGCCCAGCTGGTGGTACTGCCGGCGAGGACCCTCGCGTAGGAGGGAGGAGCGAGTCGGCGCTCCAGACGACGAGCAGAGCCAGACGATACCCACACGCTTCCTGGGAGACCTGGCTGCAAGGCCAGGCTAAGGCGCGCTCCGGAGTCTCTGTGCTAAGCCGGGGCGCAAGCTCAACCCCCATCTCAAGTTCAGCCGCGCTTCCTCCCGCAAGGTCACGCTTAAACACTCGCGCAGAGAAAGGAGGAGCGGAAAGTTGCGCCACTGTCCCCATTTCAAACTAACTGTACCCAGACCAGGGCGCCTCGCCCCAGTGTCACCGCTGTCCGTCCCCGTGCGCTCCCAGAAGGGGTGGCCCTGCCCCCACGCAGGTCACATACACGACAGACACAGGCAAGTTGCTAACTTTTGTCAGATTATTTCTCGGGAGCTGCGGCGCCTCAGGGGGTTGGGGCGGATTCGGAGTTTCGAGTTTGCCACTAACACTACTTGGGCCGTGCTCCCCTTGGCCCACCTGCGTCCCCCGCTGTCCGCCACGCCGCGTTCTGCTCTCTTGTCCCGGGTGCCAACTTCACCCCCAGATCCGGAGCAGCGTGCGCTGAAGGCGTCCCCGGGGCGCTACCCACCTCCCAGGTCTTCTCCTGATCGCAGCGGATTGGGGGACTCGATCCGGATACTGTCCCACGGCCGCTCCTCCAGAACACTGGCGGCCTCCGCGGTGTCCCAGCCTGTGACCCCAAATCCGCTCCAGAGCGCCTGAGCCCGGCCACCCAGCGAGATCTCCTCCCACGGGCGGCCCCAGCGGGGGAGATTCCAGCCCGGTGCCGGGTGCAATGTCACTGGGGTTGCTTTCGGGAATCGCTGCCCGGGACTTGGCGTAGGTTCCCCGCAGAGCTCCAGGCAGCTCCTCCAGTGTCGGCCAAAGACCCCTAAGCCCGAACCTCCACCCCGACCTTCTTCCTCTCCCAAAGCCCCGGGTGGTCGCCGCGGCTAAGGAAGGAGTCTCATTACGAATCCTAGGGTCTTCAGTCCCAGCTCCGCAGTCACACCCTCCTAGTCCCCTCCCCATCCCTTCAGTTCCCGGGTCCAGACAATCAACCCTCCACTCCGAGAATCCACAGGAAACTGCCCGAGCCCCAACTCCGGCGGACGCAGCCCCCGCGCACCCCGAGCAGGGTTCGCCTCCGCGCGCGCACTCACCACGACTGGAGACACGCTGGAGTTTCCGGGATTTGGGCATGAGGGGGTTCAGAGGAGAATAAAGGGGTGTGGGTGTCCCAGACACTCGCCCCCTTCCCAGCTCACATCGTCTCTTCCTTCTCTCTCCGCTCCTCTTCCTCCTCCTCCTCCTCCCTCCGGTCTAGGGCTCTTTGTCTTTGCAAAGTGTCGAAACTGTCTGGCATAGTGGGTTCCGCCGGCGGAGGCTGGAGCCGGGGAAGCTAGGAGGCGGGGTGAGGGTGGGAGAGGGCTCGGGAACACCTTCCCCCGGGTGTAACGGGAGTGAAAGGCGGGGCGACCAAGGAGGTGCCGCCTTTCCAGGCCGGCCGGGGCCGGGAGCCAGGGCGCTCCAGAGCCCAGTCAGCGCCTCCCCTGCGCGCGGCCCTCCCCTTCCTCCGCCCAGTGCCCGCCCCTCCCGACCCGGCGCCTCCGTTCGGCCCCGCCCCCCCCGCCCGCCCCGCCCCGGCTCGGCTTTCCCTTAGCTCCGGGCTTCCTGCAAGCCGAATTTAGCTCTGCCAAGCCACGTGGACCGCAGCGGGCTCGGCAGAGGCCGAGCCTGGGAGACGCCGGAGGCGGCGGCGGCGGCGCCCGGACCTGATCGGCGCCCCGAGAGGAGCCCCCCGCTCCCCGACGCCGCCCTCAAGCTGGCGGGGCTAAGGAAGAGCGCCCGGGCGGGCCGGGAGCCACTGGGGTCCGTTTCAGGAAGAAGACGGGCACGCACCGAGAGAATGGCAGTGCCCAGAAGAATTCGAGTCGGGGGCACGGTGGGGAGAAGGGGCCGATCCCCTGCTGGCGACCGGGCAGAGCCACCCATTTCCTCTAAGGGCGCGGGACTCGAGGTGGGATTTAGGGAGGGGGAAGGGAGGAGCGTGGGCTGGAGGACTTTTGCGGCCAGAACCTCGTTCAGAGCCACAGAGCCGGGCGCTGCAGCCGGCCCTGGTCCCGGCCGCGACCTGCCACCGCTTTTTCCTTCCAGATGCGGAGGCTGCGGCTGGGGCTTGGGGTTTGCGGATTAAGCTTGCAGTTATTTAGCCCTCCCTTTTTTACAGGGAAGCGGGGGCGGTGGAGACTTATTTTGCTGAATGGCAGAGTGCAGGGCTTTGATGCTAAATGCTGTACACAAGTCATGTAAATCTGGTTTTACGGTTCTTAGCCGCTTACTGAGACTACCTCTTTCGCAACTTTTCGGAGGAATGTTAGAGGAAAGAGGCACAGTTGGCACAGTTTGGCTTTAGGGTCATTGCATCCTTCCAGCGCCCCTTGCTCCAGCTGGAGAGAGATCAGCCTTTTGCAGTGGAAGGGGAGAGTCCCTCGGCCTTTGTTTCATCAGAGGGCTGCTGTAGTACAGGGATTCAGGCCAGGGCCCGCATGGCCAAACTTCTTGGTTCATATCCTGCACTGCCACTCAACGTATGTTTGAGCTTGGGCTAGTGACTGAACCTCCCAGCCTAGGTGGCTGTGTGCCTCGGTGTCTTCATCTGTGAGAACCGACCTAAGAAGTGTCTGTCTGATAAAGCTGTTACGATCAGTTAGTTAATTCGTACACATAGAACCTTTGGAACTGTCTTTGACATGTAGTAAGTCAACTGTGTAGATGGTGGGTTTCTCCAGTGCCAGGTCCCTGCCCATAGCAGGAAGATGACCTGCCCTAGAGGATGGGGGCTAGGGTGTTTGGGAAGACTTCAGGGACTTGGGAGAGAAAAGGAGAAATATTCAGGGATGAGAAAAGTAGAAGAGAAACCAGCTTTTAAAAGGAGGAGGAGAGAGAATGAGAAAAATAACTACTAGAAAGGAAAGGAAAAGATGAATAGCTTTTTAGGAGATTCTGGACCTGCTCTGAGACCTCTTGCGTGACGCCCTTGGTTTTTGATAGAATTCTAGAGAAGGGGTGAGCGCTTTTGTCTGCCTGGACACATCCTGTGGGCTTTTCTCTTTCTGAAACTCGGGTCAAGGTGTTCACTGTATCTACAAACTGCTTGTGTGCATGGGAGGAGGGGAGCAGAGAGTTCTACTTGCATCAGCTACTGTCCCCTCCAGCAGCAGCGTCTTCCAGCAAGGAAGAGCTTCTAACATGCACTAGACTTTTAGCTTTGGCTGGGAATATCATCTGGGCCAATAAAGAGTTTTTGGATGAAATAACAAAAGTGTTGTTTATTGTATAGATCAAATAATGTATGGGAACATATTTGAAAAATAGAAAATGCTATACTCATATTAGACTACACTAGTATATCCTAGTAGATTCTATGGAAAGAGGATCAGATTTGGCAAGTAAGGAGCCCCAGGTCATCCAGCTGTTTCACTTTGCAGCCAAGAACCAAAAGCAGCTCAGTTTTAGCTGAGTTCTTACTGTACGTATTATATGTGCAATACTGGCAGTGCAGTAGTTTTGTTTATACCAGCATCACCACAAACACGTGAGTAAGGCATTGAGCTGACGTTCTGGTCACTAGGCACAGGAGTTTTTCAGCTCCATTAGTGTATTGTGAGACCACTGTCTTTTATGCATATGGTCCATCATTGACCGAAATGTCATCCAATGCATGACTATATATATGAATAGTGTAGATTGTGTGGGTTCTGCCAAATAGTTCTGCTAACTCAAATGCCCACCAACATTCTCAGGGTTGGAAGGAGGCTTCAGGACCATGTCTTGGAAGTTCTCCTGGATGACTGTATAGTGAGATGGAAATTCCTTATTAATTGACATTATGGTGAAACACACATAAATCGCCACCTTATTTGAATAAAAGGTTGTACATCAGATGCATCTTTAGCCGATCTCTGAAGGGTTAACCTGGGCAAGGCCTTTTCTGAAAGCCCCACTTTCTTTCTGTTATGTTTCTTCCCAGGTAACAGGGACAGCCTCTCCCTCTCCTTTTTTTTCCCTGAGTTGTGACATTCCATGCAAGTAGCACTCTTAACACCCCCTTTTAAGACCCCTTCCAGGGGTTGTATGTCAGAAGTGTGTGCATGCATTTCTCTTTGTCACCCTGAGTGTATCTCCCATCACATCCTGCCAGAGAACAAGGAGTCACAGTCATTACTGGGAGTGTCTGCACAGCGGGTCCCTGGGGAGCCCTGACATTGATTTACTGCATGCTGCCACCTCCTACCTTTTTGGAGCACCAGCAAAGCTCTCAGTAATGATGGTTAAGGAAATTGATTTCATCCTGTCCCTACCCCTCTTTCTTGGCACAGCAGAGTGGAAAGATCCTAATGGGTTCTGATCCCATTTGGGTGATTGTGCAGAAAAGAAAAGGGCTGCCTCACTTGTGAGAGATGAGTTCAGAGGTGCTGGGCACAGCACATGGTGTTTTGTGTTTCAGACAGTGTTTTCCTTAGGGCTCTTGGGACTGTGAGGAACTCACTCAAGTTTCCTTAGAAAAAAGAGTTTTAATGTAGAGATGTGCCGACTGAAGCTGAAAACAAACTGGAAGGAGAGCGAGCCCATCTCTGTGTCTCTGTCTCCCTCCTGGCCCCACCACTGCCCGCCCTCCTCCTCTCTGCTCTGTTCTCTCTCTGCCCACAGGCTTTCTCTGTTAAATCCTAGGGTCTGTTCTAAAGTTTTCTGCATGTTTATGGCCCCAGCCTTTCTGCATCCTGGCAATTGTGGAAACAATCTTTTCAGCTTCACTTCCCACTGTGGTTCCACCAAGTGTTTTAGTTTTTCCAGGAGAGGAATCTAACTGACAGGCCTCATCTACAGAGTCATGAATCACCAATCCAACACTGAATGGACTGCCCAGGCAGCCTGAGCACACCTCATGAATGACTATGCAGAAGGACAGTCCTCCAGGAGATGTTGCATTAGAGGGAATGTAGGAGACATGGTCCTGACTCTGAGAATCTTGGCAGACATTTGAGGTAGCAGAACTATTTGGCAGAACCCAGCTACATTTTTCACATGTACAATTGTGCATTGCTTAATGATGTTTTGGTCAACAAAGGAATGCGCATATGACGGTGGTCCCCTGTGATGGCACTGATAAGTTCCTGTCACCTAGTGGTGTAGCTGGCATAACATCAACTCATCGCATTACTCATGTGTTTATGGTGATGCTGGTATAAACAAACTTACTGCACTGCCAGTGTGGCGAGCACAATATGTACAGTACATAATACTTGATAATGATAATAAACAGCTATGTTACAGGCTTATATATTTACTGTACTATACTTTCAATCATTTTAGAGTGTGCTGCTTCTACTTATATAAACCAGAGTTTACTGTAAAACAGTATTCTGTGTCATACCGGCAGTAGCCTTATTCATCTCATTTTTTCCTGATTGCATCATTTTCTCTTGTGCTTGATTTAATCTCATGCTGTTTTGTTCCTCATGGTCCCTAAGCATACAGAATCTATGGCTAATGTTGCCAAAGAGAAGCCACATTGAGTGATTGTATTAGTCCATTGTCACACTGCTAAGAAGGACATGCTTGAGACTGGGTAGTTTACAAAGGAAAGAGGTTTAATAGACTCAGAGTTCAGCATGGCTTGGGAGGCCTCAGGAAACTTACAATCACCACGGATGGGGAAGCAAACACATCCTTCTTCACAAGGCAGCAGGAGAGAAAAGAATGAGTGCCTCGGTGAAGGGAGAAGCCCCTCATAAAACCAGATCTCGTGAGAACTCACTATCATGAGAACAGGATGAGGAAACTGCCCCTATGATTCAATTATCTCCACCTTGTCCTTCCCGCGACACATGGGGATTATGGGAACTACAATTCAAGATGAGATTTGGGTGGGGACACAACCAAACCGTATCAGTGATTGAGCTGGAAATGAAATTAAAAGTGATTAAAGACCACGGAGGTGGAAATTTGGTGATGGTTATTGCTTGCCAGGCATGTAGGTCGCATTCCATCATAGCTACAATCTTGGAGAAGAAGAATAAAGTGACAAAAGTTGAAACTATCTGCTTCATTGAAGGCAATGGGACTATCAACAATTTAAGAAGGGCCTCCTATACTAGATATAGAGACATTTCCTATGACCCAGATTGAAGACTAGACTGACACACAAGTGTATCCCACCCAGCCCCATGATGATCCCAGCCAAAACAGAAAGTTTGTGATGTTGAAAGAAAAGGCTGGATTTGACTAGGATGTTGAACTTACTGCTAGCTTTGGGTGGTTTAAACGACTGAAGAATCATTCTTTATTATATAATATGAAAGTGAGTGGTGAGTCTGTGAGTGCTGATGTGAAGGCAGCTGAAGAATTTTTGGAAACTGTAGATAAGCTGACTGGAGGAAATTTACTTGCCAGAGCAAATCTTCAGTATGGATGAAACCTCCTTATTCTGGAAAGGGATGCCTGAAATGACTTTTATCTGTAAGGAAGCCAAGTCAATGTCAGGTTTCAAGGCTTTGATGGACAGGGTAACAGTCTTGCGTGGGGGAAATGGTACAGGCTACTAGTTGAAATCCTTCGTGATCTGGCCCAGTGAGAACCCCAGGGCCTTCAAGCATAGCACTAAGCACATACTGCCCATGGGCTACAGGAGTAGTGAGAAGTCATAACGGATGCAGTTCCTTTTCCAGGGTGCTGTCCTGCATTGCTGTACCAGTGAAAGGAAAAGCACTGTTTGAAGAATGATCCATCTTTCAAGATTTTACTTATTGTTGATAATGCTTCCACATGTCCTCTTTTTTACTGGTGATCTTCATCCCAATATCAAAGTGATATTTCTTCCTCCAGGTACCACCTCTTTCATCCACACAATGGATCAAGGAGTTATAGCAACTTTTAAGTTCTACTACCTGAGGAGGGAGGTCTTTTGCCCAGTACCATACTGCAGTGGAGGAAGACACTGAGAAGACTCTGATGAAATTCTGAACAGCATCAAGAACCTTGTTTAGGCTTGGAGTATGTCGCTAAGGACTGTAGGAATGGCACCTGGAAGATGACACGCAAGAGGTTTGTCAATAACTTCAAAGGATTTGCCAAGGATGAGGAAGTTGCAAAAATCAAGAAGGCTGTGGTTGAGATGGCAAACAACTTTAACCTGGGTATGGATGAGGATGACATTGAGTAATTCCTAGAGGGACTTCCTGAGGAATTGACTAATGGGTTGCTTTTGGAACTGGAATAGGAGTGCATAGCCGAAGAAGACGTAAAAGGAAAAGAAAGTGCAGGAGAAAGGAAAAAAGAACTCCCAAGAACACTCACAGCGAAGGGTGTAGCAGAAGTTTTTTCAGACTCCAACAAGCTCCTTAAGAAGTCTGAAAACATTGGCACCAAAACTGAAAGGTTTTCACTAATAGACAGGAAAGTTCATGGTGCATTATCTGCCTACAAGCAAATCCAGGATTCAAAAAACACCCTTTGAGCTGGAGCTTCAAAGCACCAAAAAAAAAAAAAAAAAAAAAAAAAAAAAGGAAAAAAGAAGCAAACCAAGCAAACCACCTTGGACATAGTTGTGAGTCTATTAGTGATGGGGATACATTCTGAGGAATGCATTGTTAGGCAATGTCATCCCCATCCCTGTGCCAGCGTCATAGTGTACTTACACAAATCTAGATGGTAAAACCTACTGCACACCTGGGCTATATGGTTTAGCCCGTTCCTTGAAGGCTGCAAACCTGTACAGCATGTTATTGTACTGAATACTGTAGGCAATCGTCACTCCATGGTAGGTAGATATCTAAATGTATCTAGACATAGGAAAGGTACCATAGAAAAACGTCATAAAAAATAAAACCAGTATGCCTGTATAGGCCACTTACCATAAGTAGAGCATGTGTTACTGGAAGTCGTTCTAGGTTGAGTCAGTGAGTGAGTGGTGAGTGAATGTGAAAGCCTACGGACATTGCCATATACTATTGTAGACTTTATGAACACTGTACACTTGGGTTACACTGCATTTATAAAAATGTGTTTTTCTTCAATAGTAAATTAACTGTAGCTTATTGTTACTTTTTGTACTGTATACACTTTAACTTTTTTGACTTTTTTATAATAATACTTAGCTTAAAATAAAACATTTTGAACAGCTGCACTAAAAATATTTTCATTTTCTTTCTTTTTTTTTTTTCTGTGATGGAGTTTCGCTCCTTCACCCAGGCTGGAGTGCAGTGGCATCATCTTGGCTCACTGCAAGATGAGCCATCTTCAATCACTTGAACCGTCCCCCAGGTTCAAGTGATTCTCCTGCCTCAGCCTCCCAAGTAGCTGGGATTATAGGTGCACACCACCACGACTGGCTAATTTTTGTATTTTTAGTAGAGTCAAGGTTTTGCCATGTTGGCCAGGCTGGTCTTGAACTCCTGATTTCAGGTGATCCACCCGCCTCAGCCTCCCAAAGTGCTAGGATTACAAGCATGAGCCACTGCACCCGGCCTAAAACTATTTTCTTTATATCCTTATTTCACAAGCTTTTTACTATTTACAGATTATTTATTTATTTACGTTTTAAACTTTTTTGTTAAAAATTACGACACAAATACCCACATCAGCTTAGGCCCACACAGCGTCAGTCTTCAATATCACTCTCTTTCACTGCATATCTTGAACCACAGGAAGGGTTTTAAGGGCAGTAACATGCATGGAGTTGCCATCCCCCAAGGTAACAGTGCCTTTCCCTGGAACACATCCTGAAGGTCCTGCCTGAGGCTGTGTTACAGTGAACTCTGTGAGGTTTGCATAACCATGAAATTGCCTAATGACGCTTTTCTTGGAACGTATCTCTGTCATTAAGCCACTCCTGACGGTCTTAGACCCGAAATCTATGCTAAGCCATCTGATTAGTCTCAGTCCATCCTATCCACCGTAATCTCTTTGTCAAAAATCAACTCATGAATGAGTAGCTTTAATCCCTACTTGGACCACCAAGATAAAGAGATAAATATATTGAGTCCCCTAGGAAAAAGTTTCTAAGAGTAAGCCCTGAATATTGCTTATTTCTAACTGGGCATGAACAAAAGATCATTTTTAACACAGTTGCTCTGGGAGGCATCTTTGTGCCCATGAAGAAAGCCAAATAAAACATTAGGTTCAGAGTCCTAATCACACAATACATGAAGTCTGTTCTGGACTTTCTGTTTCATGAGTCAATAAAATTATTATCTTACTCCACTTTAAGTCACAGTTCTGTTACTTGCAACAAAACACTTGATAATGACAGTCAGATTAATTTTCCTGAAGTCCCTCTCCTTCCCTCAAGTCATTTCCAAACTCAAAACCCTTAAAACGTTTGTGACTTCCCATTGCCTAGGGATGTAAGTCTGAATTTCTGAGTCTAGCAATTAAGACCCTCCTTGGTGTGGTCCCAATGTATGTTTCTCACTTGTTTCTTTCCAATACTCCTCTTTACAAACACTCTACTAGCAGGCATGACTAGGCCCAGAAGCTCTGGTTAACTTGTATGTTAAGTTCTTAAAATCAACATAGATCTCTATCTTGCTGGGCTGGTGAAGCCCCCAAGATATACAGAAGTCCAGAGGGCTAATGCAGGGCCTGGTGTGAGGGAACTCTGACTCCTGGCAATCCTAACTGCTTCTGCAGTGCCTCCCACTGTCCTAGGCTGCGAGATCCATAAGAATCATGGTTCCTAAGCTTCCTCATGATAGGGTCCAGCTAGCCCAGATATATGTATTTCCTAGGATAGCCATAACCAACTACTACAAACTGTGTGGCCAGAAATAGCAGAAATATATTTTCTCACAGTTCAGGAGGCTGCAATGAAGGTGTTGCAAAAGTTGGTTCCTACTGGAGACTCAGAGAGAAACTGTTCCATGCTTTTCTATATGACCTCATCTCAACTTGTTTAACCAATTACATCTGCAAAGACCCTATTTCCAAATAAGGTCAAATTCTGAAGATCCTGGTGAGCATGAATATTTCAGGGACATTATTCAACCCACTAAACCAGGGACACCGACATCTCCATGCCCACCTCTGGAGCAGATGACTTCCATTCTCTATAGCTCCAGCTGACGGCCAGCCCTGGAAACCCTTTTCATCCTTTTCTTTCTGGTGTTCTCAGAAGCAGACTCCTGTCCCCTTTTTTCATGTAAATGGATTTAAGTTTAATTTCCAAAAAGCTAGACCTTCAGTAACTTCTAATTTTCCCTAAGATAGCAGTCCTTGAGGCAAGGAAACATTAAGGGCCTGACTACAGGCTTGAAATGGGGGAAATGGGAATCTATAGTGGACAAAAACCACAAATGAATATTTGAAGTGTCCTGCCATACCTATTGCACCTGCATTCCACACATATCAGTTAATGGAACACCCATCATTCCTTCTAGAAGAGCCACCACCTGGCTTTGCATATGGACCACGAGTTCCCTGGAAGGCTGTCCACCACCTGAATCCCCTCCTGTCTAATGTGCACAGCTCTTCCTGAGGCAGCGGGGGCGGTGGGGGTGGGTAGTGGAAGGGCTGCCCCCACATGAGGCCTTTGCTATTGGCCCTGTGCAGCCCTCATCCCTTCTGCTTATCCCTACTGGGTCTCCCTTAAAATCTGTCACCACTTTGCACCTTTGCAGTTACGTGCTTATTAGGCTCTGTTTCCTGTTTGATGGACAGATCCTGAAGGAGAAGTGCAATCCTGCCTTCTTTCATTCATTCATTCAGCAGAAATTTTTTGAGCATCTACTCTGTGCCAGATACTGTGCTAAGTGCTGAAGCCATGCAGGTGGACATGACATAGTTCCTTGTCTCAGGGAATCCACAGTTTGATGGGGGACTGACAAACTTCCAGTTACTTCTCCACATTTGGGCAGTGCTGTGACATGGTAACAAGTGGGTGTGGTGAGACCTCTGGGGTCAGGTTCCCTGGGCTTTTGCTGAGAACTGAGTGTGCAAGCCTAGTGTGTGTGGTGCCTCCCTAAGCCAACAGAACCCTGAGAGCCAGAGTCTGGCTCTGTTTTGAGGGCAGTCAGAAGCTCTCAGAGAATTTTACATGGTGAGCGTTGGCAGATTTGCATGCTAGGCAGACACCTCAGGCAGCCTTGTGGCCATATGTACAGACGAGAAGCAATGAGACCATAATTTCAATAATCTAAGAGCTGCCAGGGCTCTGACCTAAGGACGTGGCAGAAGCCTAAAAAGAGGTAGATGAGCTTCGAAGAAGGTGAAATAGATAGATCACAACCATTTCGATCAGGGGCAGGAGGAGAAGGAAAAAGCTTGTATTTCTGTTTTCCATGAGAGCAAGCAGTGGCATTGCTGATTACACTGCCCCCTAGCATCCATCTCTTACTTCTTTCCGGCAACAAAATTATTTTTGTTTTGTTTTAAACATGCATGTGGTATCTGGAGAGGTAGCATCTATCTAGTATTGCAAAACTAGCATGAGAAATATGGGGTTAAAAGATAGAAAGCTCTTTGATCCTTGAAGGCATTCTTGAGCACTGGAATCGATGCCAGCAGTATCCTATCTGGGGATCTTTTCTCTGTTTTGTGAAAGAAAATACGCAACAATGTCTGGGCTGGGTTGCTCATGCCCGTAATCCCAGCACTTTGGGAGGCCGAAGGCGGGTGGATCACTTGAGGTCAGGAGTTCGAGACCAGCCTGGCCAACATGATGAAACCCCATCTCTACTAAAAATACAAAAATTAGCCAGGCATGGTGACAGATGCCTGTAACCCCAGCTACTTGGGAGGCTGAGGCAGGAGATTCGCTTGAACCCAGGAGGTGGAGGTTACAGTGAATTGAGATCACGCCACTGCACTCCAGCTTGGGTGATAGAGCGAGACTCTGTCTAAAACAAAAAGAAAGAAAGAAAGAAAGAAAGAAAGAAAGAAAGAAAGAAAGAAAAGAAAGAAAGAAAGAAAGAAAGAAAGAAAGAAAGAAAGAAAGAAAGAAAGAAAGAAAGAAAGAAAGAAAGAAAGAAAGAGAAAGAAGGAAAGAAAGAAAGGAAAGAAAGGAAGGAAGGAAGCAAGTGAAGTGAAGGGAAGGAAGGAAGGAAGGAAGGAGGAAAGAAAGAAAGAAAGAAAGAAAGAAAGAAAGAAAGAAAGAAAGAAAGAAAGAAAGAAAGAGCAACAATACTCAGCCCTAGTCCTTCAAGATATCATATGGAGGTTTCTTGTTACTTGCAACCCAAGTACAACCCTCACCGACACTCAGTGGATGGTGACAATCTCCAGAATGGGGCATCTGCCAAGATGGAGGAGAGAAGGCAGTATCATTTTTATTTGTCACAGTACTTTCTGTGCACCATTTAGTTGCAGCTGGTTCTAGATACTAATCCTGCCTGACCAACCATCCCAAAATTCAGAGACATATAACTCATATTTCATTATGATCATGGAATCTGTGGGTCATAAATTTGGATGATATTCAGCAGGGATAACATATCTCT